TACGCTCCCCCTGCACCCAGGTCCCTGCTGAGGAGCCAGAGTATCATCTCTACAGGTTTAACGCCCAACAGTGCTGGTGACCTGACAAGAAAAACAGTGTCAGTTTGCTTCTGAAAGCTGTTTAGGTTGGTGCGTTCTCATAAAACATTCACATTCTGCAGCTCAGCATTTTGTAAGGGACAGTTATTGTCTTGGAAAATGTCTGGGACAAGGAGTAGTCAGAGGAAAAGATAACCTGTGCTGGAATATAACAGAATGTAGTTCCTTCTCTTCAGTACCTCTAAATAAATTATTTCATATAATAAAATATCTTAAAAATATTTATGTTTTATGAGACAAAAAGCTTAGCTTGACAAGTAGAACTAACCTCTAAAATGACTTTAAAACATTTTTAAGAATATTGCCTGTAGGCTCCGTGAAAGCACGGAGCGTGTGAAAGTGCTAAATTAGCGTTAAATTGTTATTTATGTTTTAAAATATTGTCCTTTCTATTGCCACTTCATGCCACCACTCATAAAAAAATTAACATCAATGACAAAGACAGTTTTGAGTCTGTCTATGTGTTTGTTTCAAGCAACTGTTTTAGATAGACACAGAGAATGTTTAAGACGAAAATTATCCAAACCCATTTTAATTAAGATCAGCTGTATTTGTATTGTGTTTTTTACCATCTGAAATAGTGAGAATATCACAAGTCAACACTTGAAATTGGGCTTTATGTGGTTCTTTTATTTGCTTTTGTTTGGTGTAAATGTTTGTATTTTTTGAATGATGTCTAATTTCTGTTTTGGAAGCAGAAAAACAGTGAAGCAATGGGACTTTTTTATTATTGTAGATTAAGATGGTCAAGGAGTCATAGGCTGTATGTTTTTGATTACAATTTAGAAATATTGGTGTTTTTCCACTAGAACAATTTCTTGAAAAAAACAATAAAAGAATACTCTTTTTTAATGCTAAAAGGAGTTATCTGTTGTATTTTTTCAGTGATACCAAATTATTGATCAAGTTATATTAATTTATTGTTTGGACTTCTGGAATTTGAATTAAATTGAACCGACTATTATCTTGATTCTGACTCGAGCAAATAAAGAACTAGCAGCACTTTTGAAATTCATGAGGTTGCATACTGTTAGCCCAGTTAAATAATGCTCATCTCTTCTTCCAGCTTTCCAGTAGTGCTTCAACAACTATCTGCACTAAAATACTCCAGCTACAGGAGTGTAGTACAATGAAAATAATGTAACAAACTTAATCATTCCAGCACCACACATGAAAGGAAGACATTTTAAGTTGGATATGCTTTTAGTATTAGCTCTGCGTTAGGGGGTGTTATTTTTTCCTGAATATTGGAAGAATTTACTGCATGCTTTCATGAAAAATAAGATAACACATGGTAGAAGATGAGATTTTCCTTTGACTCAATGCTCTTCTCAAACTGCAGCTTGTTCAGGTAGCTTGGGGTTGCATTCTAAACTTATTGCAGAAATAGTTGCCCGGTTTTCACCTTATTATTTGAGGCCTAGTACAATGCTAATGGAATGTTAGACAATACAGATCAAGCTTATTTCCTTCCACTTTTCAAAGGAACCAGGAATTAGTGTATCATAATAGCCATCAGAGTCCTGTTGACTGGTTTAACTTAAACTGAAACAGTAGAGGCATCAGATGCGTGAAGCATGGGGAAGTCAATGGCTTAAAGAAAGTCACAGAATCACAGAATGTCAGAGGTTGGAAGGGACCTCGAAAGATCATCTAGTCCAGCCCCCCTGCAGAACAACCATAATCCACAGTAGTTAGTGTGACTGGCAGGTGACAGTCAGTAACCATCTGGCCCTTCAGTTTATTTAGTGGGCAGCCAGGCTCTCCATGGGTACTTTAAACTGGCCCACAGCGTGTGGTGTGCCTCCAGTAGCCAGCACGCCAGACTACAAGGAGGGTTCAGGACCTGAGGGTACAGCAGCTGAGGGGAGCAGCAGCCTGAGTGCACTATAAACTTCTAAAGGGCCTGGAGACATTGCGGGCTGAGGAGAGGCTGATAGGACCAGGTAGGCTTGGCAACAACAGCACTTCACGCCAGGACAAATGTGGAGCTGGAGGTAGCCAGCAAGACAGAGTGTGACATTGTGTAGCTGGAGCCATCGCCTACCCTGTGGCTTATCTAGTGTGCTGACAGCTGTCCTCAGGGAGGGTAGCTGAACATCAGTGTGCTTTTTTTTCCCCTCTGTTTCTCCAATATATGAAGTGAGTGACCTGGTCCCCTGGTAGCCCCCTGCTGTGATGGAGCTGCTAAAGGTCCTCAGCACTGACCTGAAGGCACCGCTGGGTAACTGTGAAATAGCCCCTTTACTTCTGTGTTCTGGATACAGAAAACAGGAAGACCAGCCAGCAAAAAGACTCAAACAAGCAACTTTTTCCATTATTCTCACCACGGCTAAAATGATGCGTTCTTTCACATCAGGTGTGCCCTTTTTACCTGCCATCTGGTTGTGTCTGCTCAGAATGATGGAACTAAAGGGATCCCATCTTTACTACACGTGATCAGTAGGCTGGATTAGCAACAAATGGCAGAGGCTGTTCTACAAGGTCATAATTCTGAGAAGTCTTTTAATAAGCACTAAAGCAATGTTTTCCATATGTGGAAAATCAACGGTTCATACTAGAATTTTTGAATTTTTCTTAAGAGTGAACATCTGAAGGATCTTTCAGAAATAAATCTGACCATATCAACTCAGTAATGGAAGAGAAAGTATTGAGTTACTTTGAGTAATACTTAAATGGGTAATTTCAGCTGCCAGAACCTGTATTGCTTTAATAAAAGAGTGTCTCATTAATGATAAGAAAGCAACCAATTAACCATCTAAACCTGAAATACTACTAGAGCTTGATGTTATTGAAACAGACTACTTGTTTTCACCCTCTGTAGGGTCCCAGTGGTTTGTATGAATATAGTTCTGAGTAGAGAATGGGATTTGAATAAAGATAAAAATGGGTCCAAGAGGAATTTGTTCTTTCCTGGCCCATATTGCAATGCCATTGGCTTGTAATGAAGTATAAGTAAATATTTTTCCACAGACTGTGAAGCAGAGGTTTCAAATCTTTCTCTAGTGGACACTGTTTTACTTTTGTGAAATCACTAGCGAAGATTTGTGCTATCAAGTACACTTACAGCAGTTTCAGGAGAAGATTAGGTGCTTCACATTTAAACCTGCTCACTTGAAATTCTTAAAGATTTTGTGAAGAGCAAGATAAGTTTATGGTAGTTCATTCTACTGCTTGTTGTGCACAGACTTTAAGAGAATTAATTATTCAGGACAATCTGTGGCATTTTGTGAACATGACTTTTTTTTTTTTTTTGGTAACAAATGTTTCGGGTCTCCATTGTTAATCTCATTCCCAAGCTCATTCTCCTCCTCCTTTTGTCTAAAATGTGACTGTTGAAGAGAGTTCCTATTGAACTTTTAGGTCCAAACACACATGCACCCATTTTTCCCTCATCCACTCTTAATTTTGGTCCATCTTTTTACCTGCTCTAGACTCTTAGAGCTGAACTAAAGCAGCAAATGCTTGATTGCTTTGGAGCACCATATAACTTACTTTCCAGTTGTGGTACCAGTCACATTTTAAGACTTAGGGTATGCACCAGCTTTTTTTTTTTTTAATGTAGCGGCTAAAAAGCTTCTGTAAGCAGACTTGATGATGTGATTAAAAACAGTTCACAGGTTTTCATGGTTCAGTATGAAGTAACCCTTGCCTCCTCTACTTTGGAATGTAAAATAGTAACTAGTATGGCTGATGTGGTGTCATTGCTGGAAAATAGTCTCCAGTGTAAATGCACCCTGTCTGAAATACCTGCAATGCTGGAAATGAGAATGGAAATGTTATTTAACCACCTCAGATTAGTAGAGGTAAGCATGAAAGCCAGGTGTCTGCTTTCAACAGCCCGACCACATAGTGGTTGCTCAGTCTTATTTACTTCTGCTGGTAGCTTCTGCATTCGTTTTAGAGCTGTGGCTGAATTGCTGTGGTGGATCCAAAAAGGCTTTGAAAGCTGTAATCATAATGATCAGGGCATTGCTCATTTCTAGTGGGCTGTCTGGCTGCGTTTGATAAGCATGTATCCATTTCTTTTTTCATTTTTTTTCCAAGGCTACTAGGAAAAAAACCCAAAACACAAAAAAAACCGAAACCAACCAACAACATAAAACCAGCTTCATCTGCTGGTCCGTTTTCATTGGACAGCTTCATTCTCAGATACATGTAGAACTGTTTGGTGGCCTTTCTTGGTGAAGTTAGTATGGGATAAGTAGTCTTGATATGAAAACTTTTTATGATTGAAAGTACTCCTCCATTTTTTTTCCCCGAAATTCACACATATAGAAGGAAATGTTAGATACAGTGTGTCTAATGAGTGTGGGAATGGCTTATTAAAATATAAAAAAAGTTACTCTGTACTTTGCAAATTGGTGAAATATTTGTGCCAATGTTTGCTGCTGCTTCTTAGGGACACAGCAGGTCAGGAGAGATTCAACAGCATTACCTCAGCTTATTACAGAAGTGCCAAGGGAATTATTTTGGTGTATGATATCACCAAGAAGGAAACATTTGATGATTTACCAAAATGGATGAAAATGATTGATAAGGTAGGCCAAAAAGTTTTGTCTTTTTACATATTTTTTTAATAAGCAATGTTTTTTCCCTCAAACATACTCTGTAAGACTTTGAACAGCATTGGTGTAGGAGTATTAAACTAATGCAACTAATTTTCACTGGATTCTGTTAGCCAGGATTTAATATTAATGTGTTTTTGTTGCAAAATGGTTGTCCATTC